ATAATTGATTTTCTAAAAGCAAGTGTTGTGCGCCCTGCTTGGAAGAAGGTGTCTAGTCTAAGCCCTGTGACAAAGCACTATCGAGCACAATGGGACCAGTTGAAGCTTGAAAATGGTATTCTTGTCCGGAGATAGGAAACTACAGATGAGAAATTGACGACTTGGCAAACGATTATACCGAGAAAGTTACGGGAAGTTATGTTGTGTCAATCCCATGATACTGTAACAGGAGGACATCTCGGAGTTAAGAAAACATTGAGTTACCTACGACACAGATTTTACTGGATAGGTATGAGGCAAGATGTGGAAGAATGGTGCAGAACATGCAGGGCTAAAAGGGGACCCAAGCATAAGAGACGCCCACCTTACGAAGAGTTGCCCGAAAATGTATCAGAGTTTGTGAAAGCATTATCGGAAAGGATGGATGATATTCACCATCAAGTGCATTCAAACTTGAAAACGTCTGCTGATTCGATGAAGTTATCTTATGATAAGAGATCTACTGAAGTTAGTTTTGTACCAGGAGACAAGGTGTGGTTGTATAATACCAGAAAGATCAAAGGGAAGTCTCCTAAGTTGTCTTCTCCATGGGAAGGCCCATATGACATAGTGGAACGTCTCTCAGACGTGACTTTCCGGATAAAATGTGGTCGGCGAGGTAAGCCAAAAGTTGGGACGAAGTGAACAAAGGAACAAATGACGCTGCTGAAGATGTGTCACCTGAAAAAGCCACCGTCGAAGAAGAAACTCTACTCAGTTTTGAGAAAGGAAACGGAATGATGATGTTACTATCACTGATGTGACTGTTATCGACGATAGAACATTTCCTGATGAAGCAGAAGCCAACGAGACGGAGACCAGTTCGGAAGAAGATACGTCCCATAAAATTAAGACTTTGTTGAATTGTAATTCTGTACATTTAATTAAGTTATTGTTAATTGTTATTGGTTTAATGTAAGTGGCTATTGTTCAGGACGAACAATACTAAGGAAGGGGCAGTGTTACGACATCGGGGTCACGTGACGCTAGTAACACGTCATTGACTTCTAGAAATATCCTGTTCCTTCATGAATGCTCTAGCGTTTACTAGATACGTGTTAGTCTTGTATATTGTTACGTCTCCGTTTGTTAATTAACTTTCCGTAACTTCGTTCCGACGAAACTTTAGCGACACAAGTCCTTTTTCT